GACGCACACACGCACACACACACACTACGCCTAACACCGCTCGTCCCCCGGGGGCCGTTTTCGGGCCCTGGGGCCGTCAACCGAGGATCTGGGTTGAAACATCGGTCCCAGGGAATGTGTCGGGACCTCCGAGGACTTCTTTATTCCTCCTCGCCCTGGCCCCTCGGCCTCCTTCTAGGCCATGTTTTTCATTCGGGGTGGTCAACAAATTCTTGAGGCCGCAGCCTCGCCCACCTGGCCTTATCCATGCCTTTCCCTGCATAGCGTTTCATCGCCAAGACAGCAGCTTCTGGTGTCTGCAGTTGCGGTTCTTCTTGCTGGACGTCACTCCCGCACAGCGTTGCCATGGCCGCCCCTCCGAGCTGCGTGAACCTCATCAACCCGGCGGAGCAACCCCGGGACAGTCGCAACCTTAACGACGCGATGTCCTGGGCCGAAGTAGCGTTGCATAAGGTCACTTCCGGCAGCATGCCGGGCGCCACCATCGTTCCCTACATCAGCGGGAAGACGCTTCGTACATCAGGTGCGTTCTCTGGGATTGGCGCACCGGAGAACGCGGACCGCGTGGTTGAGTCGACCTGCGCTGCTTTCCTGGCTGCCAACTTTCCAGACCATGGTCGGGAGCCGCTCCGCTTCCAGAGTGAGTACGCCGTGGAAATCAACGCGAAGGCCCAGCGCGAGCTCCTCGCCATGCCGAACCCGCCTGAGCATGTCTTCACCGACATTGGCCTGTTCTGCCCCGACTCGCTGAGGGACCTCTTTAACCAGCCGAACCCGAACCTCGATATCCTCAAGCGGCGGCTTCTGCGGTGCACGCCGAAGCGCGCGGCTTTCTGCATGCGGCACAGTAGGGTCCTCCTCAGAGTCCTCCTCCTCCTCCTCCTCCTCCTCCTCCTCCTCCTCCTCTTCCTCCTCCTCCTCCTCACCCTCCTCTTCCTCTTCCTCCTGGGGGCACCAGAGTGACGAACTAGATTATAGTTCGCCGTTTTGTGGGCGCACTGGGGCCACCAGAGTGACGAACTCCTCCTCCTCCCCCTCCTCCTCCTCCTCCTCCTCCTCCTCCTCCTCCCCCCTCCCCGCCGCCTCCTCCTCCAGAGGTGTGCACTATGCGGGCATCGCATATACGTCGTGCAGGATCCCACTGCACGATGCACAGCGTTTTCGGGAAGCTGGAGCGCGAGTGCGGAGACAAGATGAAATACTTTTGGCTCTGGTGCGCCATGCGCCGCTTGCACGTGGACTTCATTGTGTTCCATGAGAATGTGGAGGCCTTCGGGGAGGCGCTGATGATCGACTGCCTCGGGGATCTCTACATCATTATCCGCTGCGTCGACAACATCAGCGAGATGGGATGGGCGGGCTCGAGGAGGCGCCAGATCCTTGTGATGCTGCTCAAGTGCTGGATCAGGCCCGTGGTGAGGGACGCGCTCGGCCAGCCTAACATGACGCAGGTTGAGATCGTGGCAGCTTTGGACTTGGGGGCTCTCCCCCTATCCCCCTCCTCCTTTGCTCATGTATTACTCATGTATTCCCCCCTCCTTGCGAGGCGACGTTCCGCCACCTGTTCCACCGCCCGTGCCACTTCACGTGGCAGGAGTACCTCGTTGGCACGCCCGACCAGATCTGCTCCGAGATGGCATGGGCTGCGGGCCGCCCATCGGCCAGAGCGGGCATCAATCAACTCTCTCGTCCTCCCCCACCCCGTCCTCCTCCTCCTTCCTCCTCCTCCTCCTCCTCTTTCTTTCTCCTCCCATCACTCATCGCCCCCGCTAGGCGCCCTCTTGGACCCTCCCCAGGGCCCTCGGAAGAGGCCCGAAGGCGCCCCCAGATGGGCCCATGAGGGCCCGAGGACAGCATATAAAAAAACAGCTTGTTTTATAACGTAAGAGAGGGACCTAGGGGAGCTGGGAGCCCACGAGGTGACTTCGCGGTTTGATTCAAGGGCTGCGAACGTCGTGGACTTGAACTCTCAGTACAACGATCCTCCCAGGGGTGCCCGCGCGTGTCTCAGCTTGCACGAGAGGGGGAATCTCGCGTACGTTGAGAGCAGGTACCCTGGAGACGCTGTGGATCTGAATCAGAACCCAACCTCTCGCTTGGTTCGCACCAACAATGGTAAGATGTACACGCTCACTGCGGGCCTGGGCATGATCTACATGTGTCGCCCACCTCAGCCAGCCCTCCCACATGTTCAATACGCGGACCGCTGGATCTTGGTGCCGGAGCTCCTGACGAGCATGGGGTTCCCCATCACCCCCGAGTCCGTCCGCGCGTGCTGCGGGGCCACCTGCCAGTTCAGCAACGATCGGCACCGGCATTTCCCGTCGACCCGCACCATTGCGTCGAGCAGGATTGTCGCGCGCTAACCCCGCTCCCCCACCTCAGCCCACCTCCACCTCCTCCCTCCTCCTCCTCCTCCTCCTCCTCCTCCTCCTCCTTGAGCTTCTCCGTCTCCTGAATGGTTGACTGAATGGCGAAATGTCGACAGGGGGTTAAACAATAACGGCCCCAGCCAGAGCCGAGCATCTATTTTCCAGTGGACCCACAGACGGCTTGGATTGGCTTAAGTGCTGCTGCTCCTCGTCCTTCTCCTCCTCCTCTCCTCTCTTCTGTCTAGGCTAGGCGACCTTTACAAATCGGGGTTTAGGTTTGTTCACTTCCCCTCTTTTTAGGCTTGCCTGATCTCTGTTTAGGCTTGTTCGTCTCGTCGTACGCGTTTCCCCCCTTTCGCCCCTTTGTTCCTGCTCTGGGCTCTCCCCCTGGCTCTGCGGGTTCAGGTCTCTGGAGGCAGCGTTGGGCCCATAAAAGTCGGCGCGGCGGTCGGAAGAAGACTGTTTCCTCTCATGGGTGCCACTCCTCTCCTCCCTCCTCCTCTCCTCCTCATCCTCCTCCCCCTCCTCCTCCTCCCCCCCCTCCTAGAGCCCCAGGGCTGCCGGCTCCAAGGGGCTCTAAGAGGGCCCCAAGGCCCCAAGGCTGGGGGTGGGGGCGACCGGGGCGACCTCCGATTCAGGAGGCAGGTTGGGAACACGATCCACCTCAATCATATTGGCGGGTGGACCATCATCGTGCTCCTCAAACTTCCAGGACTGGCGCACGGAGCCCGGACCATCCGTCGCGATATCGCGGCTGGCCTCATGCTGGCGCCGGCGGCAGCCCCAGCCCCAGTTGCCGCTCCAGTGGCTGCGCCGGTGGCGGCCTCTTCCCTCATCCTCTCCTTCTTCCTTCTTCCCCCCACCTGGCCCCTCGCCCTCTGGCCAGACGCGTCGTCGTCTCGTCGTTCTTCGTCGTCGTCGTCGTCGTCGTCGTCGTCGCCGTCGTCGTCGTCGTCGTCGTCGCGTCGTCGTCGTCGTCGTCGTCGTCGTCGTCCCCTTGGAGGCGGCAGCGGCAGCAGCAGACCCGGCGATCCTCGGCGACGGGCAGGATGATGGGGGCGACGACGCCGCGGCCGCCCGCAACGTGCGCCCCCGCCTGGGGTGACGCGCCGGCAAGGGTGGGAGAGCTCGGGGGCGCGGGGGAGGGAGGGAGGGAGGGAGGAGGTGGAGGAGGCGGAGGCGGAGGAGGAGGAGGGAGGAGGAAGAGGATCAGCAGGGGCAGCAATTTGAATCGTTTTGGGCGCCCGCCGCCGGCGCCCGCCGCTTTGGCGGCACGTCGCAGCAACAACGCCAGCCAGCCGCTCAGCCTCTCAGCCTCTCCCCCTTTTGGCCTTCTTCTCAGTTCTTGGCCCAGGGAGGGCGCGGCTGGTGCGAATGCATGTTGAATATAGCAGAGCGCGGGCGGTGGCGTTCGGCTTGGAACACTCCAAGCTTCGATGTGGGGCCCAGGCGGCGCGTGGTGTTGCTTAGCCTGGCGCTCCTCGGCATGCGGGCGGTCAATAGACCAATAGACGACGATTCGATTCAGACCTCGAATCTTTAATCTAGGCACTGCTGCCCCGCCTCGCGACTCTCGGGGAAAACAACCTTGTCGAGGAGCCCTGGTCGTCGGCCCTGCTCTGATTATCTGAAGAGGAAAGAGAGGGCGGCTCCCTGCACGGCTCGCTCGCCCGCCTCGCCGCGTCGCCCGCCTCCTCCGCGGGCCCCCCCCCCACTCACACTCGGGCTCGCTCGGGGCTCACGCTCAGACTCAATCATGATCAGGCACTGGGCAGATGTGCATGCACGCGGCATCGCGGTATCGCTTGAGGGGGTTCCTTGAAAGCAAACCCGCCACCGGCGAGGAGGTCCACGATGCCTCCCCGAATTGGAGACGGGGGATATCTCGAGCGAGAGGGTGTGTGTGTGACCACACCCAGGGGGCCCGGGGGGATCTCCGCCCGTCTTTAACTTTCCGAGCTATTCGCGGCTCGAAGCTTTGCTGCCGTGTTGTTTTGATATTTTCGGATCCCGGCCCGTCGAGCTTTTACGCCGCGGCCTCCCGTTAGGCCCTTTCGGCAAGCGCGCCTGCCGAGCAAAGCAATGCCGCCGGCCCGCCGCGCAGGCGGCGACTCCGATGACGACGAGGAGGTCCTCCCACCTCCTCCTCCTCCTCCTCCTCCTCCTCCTCCTCCTCGTCCTCCTCCTGATTCTCTTCGTCGTCGCCCTCCTCCTGCCTTCGCAGCCTCAGCCGCGCGCCCCTTCAAGTGCGCTTGCGACTTCGACGTCGCGGCGCGCGGGGCGCGCGGCCAGGGTTGGGCGCAGGTGCAGGCGACGACGACGAGGGAGGGCCAAGTGGGCCAAGGAGGAGAAGGAGGAGCCCTCCCCCCCCCTCCCCCTCCTCCTCCTCCTCCTCCTCCTCCTCCTGCCCCTCCTCAGCTCCTCCCCCTCCTTTCCTCCCCCGTCCTCCTCCTCCGCTACTCCCCCCCGCCGCAGGTGTCCAAGGAGTTGGCGCCGGGCATCAACCCGGAAAACTACGGGCCTTTCGACGCGTTCCCTGGGACGTACTTCCAGAGGCATCCGGGGAAGACTGGGCGTATCTTGCAAGAGGTCGCTCGCGAGAAATACATCATCGCCGAGAACGTGACGATGGCGTTCTTCAGCTCCGCAGGAGAGAAGATGGTCGCGAGGCACCCCCTGAATCGTCTGAAGCAGCAGCAGACGGTGCTGAGGTACAAGCACACGATCAAGGAGTGCGGCATCAAACTGGGCGCTCGCGGCGAGCTGGTGGGCGTCCCAGTTGGGGATGAGGCCGCGAGAGTCACGAGGATTTTGTCGGACCCGACGTCTCGGGCGCAGGTGGAGGGGAGCGGGCGCATTCAGCAGTGGCAGATTCAATTGATCTCCGGGGCCCACTTGATGGAGGCAGCCTATGATGCCCACGACGAAAACGAGCAGCTTCCGATCGAGCGTAAGAACCAGTTGGTGACCACGAGCATCGAGTGTGGCCTGCCCGGCGTGACGCTGATCAGCCCAGCGACCCCGCGCGACGCTCTCCTCTACTTCCGCGATGATGGCAACCTGCTCAACGGCGAGGCTTCTGGAGTTTCTATCCTGGACATCTACAGCACAGCCGACGATCTCGCACAGGAGTGGCAGAAAGCTGCCGCCGATAAGAGGAAGAAGAAGCCGAAGACCCAGGACGCAGGGGGGGAGAACAAGGAGAACGCGGGCGGTAGCCAGGTCCAGGAGCAGGGCACGAAGCGCTCGCAGGCGGGGTACGAAACGCAGTATTGGAACTTCGTCGAAAAAGCTGCCCCAGGGAGGTTCACCGGCTGGGAGCCCTTCAGCGATGCGAAGAGTTTCGTGAACGGCATGCGGCAGCTGAAGCTGTGGCAGGCTTACAATGACGATATGAACCGCGTCGCGATTTTCACGGCCGCGATCGATACGAGCATCTTGCTCAATGTGAACGCCAAGATCTTGAGAATGCACAAGCCTGATTCCGACAAGAGGCCTGGGCGACTGACGCTCATGATGGAGGTTTTCAAGTTCGCGCTGCCTACGAACGGGGAGCCGCATGCGGAGTTCCTACTGAGAGATCCAAAGGCCGCCGAAGACATGCTCAAGGCGCTATTCGTCCCCTTCAAGTTGACCAAGGCACACAAGATGCAAGAGAAAGCGAGGGAGGAAGAGACGGCCATGGAGCGCATGCACGCGGCGAACGTCGACGCCCAGGGCTGCGATCCTTCCGAGAGGAAGAAGCGCAGGAGAGTCAAGGCAGCAGCGGCAGATAAAGACGTGATGTTTCTCTGGCTGGACGACGTCATCGAAGCCATCAACAGTGCGGTTGCAGACGTGCCGTGGGACAAGATTCAGATCAACCTGGTCAAGCAGTCGCAGAGGATGTGCATCTACTTCGCGTTCAGTGGCAAGATCTTAGTGGAGGCCTACACCGATAAGATGAAGAAGTCCCCGAAGTGCATCGACGGGAAGCTCGAGATTAAGACCTACCTCAAGCTCCGAGAGTACGTTGTGAAGTTCCTCAGGGATAAGCATGCCGACGTCGCGGGCAATGCCGAGGAGGATGAGAAGGGGGACTCCGAGGAGGAGGACGAGGCGCCACCGGCCAATCCGGAGGACGCAGCAGTTGTTGCCATGCAGCACGGCCATTTGACCATGACCGAGGCGCAGACCGAGCAGATGACGCGAGCCGTGCAGCTTTTAGGCGACATGCCGCAGATGCACACCTGCTTGCAAAGATTCCTCAAGGAGAACGCGATCGAGGGCCTCCAGCATATTGGCCTTATCAAAAGATCGCACTCGGCCATGGTCAAGATTATCAGTTCCCTGTGGCAGAAAGCATTCGACGCCGGCATCGCGATAGCACTGCGGGATCCCACGGCAGTTGGTCAGCCGACCGAGTTCGAACCGATGGTGAAATATCTGGCTTCCTCGCTTTGGTGCACCATGCCTCCGCTGCCGCAGAGGTGGATCACCATCGCCCAGTTGATCTACCGGAGCACGGATGGGGGCATCGCGGTCGACCTAGATGACGTCGGCCGCGTGCACCCGTCGCTGGGCCATGTCTGCTCAGTATGGAAGGACAAGGCAACTCTCCAGGGGTTTCTTGGCATGCGCTCCCACTACATGCTTGTTTGCATGCTGGAACTGACCGAGATTGCAAAAGAGAAAGGTGTCGTGACCAAGCTGGATCAGACCCAGGCTCAGGAGCTTTCAGCCCTCGCCGACATCATGAGCAAGCTCGCGAACATCATCATTGATGATGGCCTTCCGATCGTCATTGTCCAGGACGCCGCTGCCGATACGGTGGAATCATGGGTCGACTGCTGGACGAGGATCCTGCACCGGTGCCACTCGATCGCCAATTTGAAGTACGTGGAGAAAGACGAGAACGACTGGTGCAGGATCGAGCGTGGCTTCAAGTCGAAATACTCCGACATGACAGTACCCAAGCTCAAGAGTGAGTACTCGACTGCTTCAGCAACGGCGACCTCGCAGGAATCGCAGGGGACTGGCGCCCCCGCCCTCGCCGCGGCCGCAGATTGCTGGAAAAAGGAGGACTGGGTGAAAGCATTGGTTGACTACAGCCTGGAGAATGCCAAGTTCAAGGAGCAGAGCATGAAGTCCGAGTGGGACGCTGCACTTGGTTCCTGGGATGAGGAGATCCGGTCCAGGGGCGGCGCGGCCGCTGCCGAGGCTGCAATCGACGCTGCGCTCGACTCGATGTCCGCGCCTGAGCGTGCATGCCTGGTCGTCAACAACAAGACGTACGAGCGGATTCGCATCCCTCCGTCCAAGATCAGCGATTACTTTGCCGCCAAGACCTTCCTGATCGGGAACGCTCTGACCGATAAGCTATTCCGCGAGGAGTTCGACACCATAGGCGACCAGAAGATCGTGCTCAAGCAGCAGAGAGACGAGAAGGAGAAGGAGAAGCCGAGCCAGAGGCTCTACATCCAGGTGGAGAGCTTGGATGCCGTGCCCAGCGTCAGCCTTCCCTTGGTCGGAACGGTGACCTTGGGCCTCCCAGGCGTTCCGCCTTCCAAGATGTGCTACAGTGCTGGGAATGCGAAGATCGGCGACGAAACCTACCACTTGTTCATCCAGCCACTGTCTGGCATGCTGCACCCGATGTCAACCCTGTACACGCCAGGGTGGTCAGTGCGCTCGATTGCTCCGAAGGACCCGAAGGACGACGACGTCAAGAAGGATCAGAAGGCACAGAAGGACAAGGAGGCTGCGGCTAAGGCGCAGAAGAAGTGCACCATGAAGATGGGCAGTCCGATCGTCAAGGAGTTCACGGTGGAGGGCTGCGCGGACAAGGTGAAGTTGTCCATCGCCACACTCCAGATGGACGCAGAGGCTTTCACGACCGACGCCTCGAAGGATGGCTTCAAGGACAGGCACGTGGTCCCGGCGGCGGAGCTGGCCGCTACGGGGCAGGAGCAGGAGTCCTCCTCCTCCTCCTCCTCCTCCTCCTCCTCCTCCTCCTCCTACTCTTCCCCCTCAACTCCTCCTCCTCCTCTTCCTCCTCCACATACTCTTCTTTATCATTTCCCCCTCAGTCTGCTGCCGTCACTGCTACTGCTGCTCAAACCCACTCGGAAACTTCATGATCTTGAGCCCTCTTACCCCCTGACCCTTTGGCCATCATAGCCCTGGGCCCCGGGCTCCACGTCGCGAGCAGATCTCAGAGTCGGGGGCCCGTCGTCGTCGTCGTCGTCGTGGTCGTCGTGGTCGTCGTCGCGGGTCCCTCATCTAACTCTTAACGCTCCAGCCCTACTTCCGAAACCTCGTGGCCCTCCGAGGAGCCGCCGACGCCGGCGCCAGTGTTCGAGCTGACCAGGGCGGCATTCGCCGAGGAGGTCGCGGCCGCCTCGAGCAAGAAGCCCGAGGCTGAGGACCCCACACTTTTTGCTTCCGGCGCGTGGCAGGGTGCGAACAAGGCGCTCGTCCGTTCGATGGTGAAGCATGTGCTCTCCTAGGAGGCGTTCGCGAGAGACGGAATGAGGGGGGACAGGACGACCAGGAGGAGGAGGGTTAGGAGTAGGAGGAGGAGGAGGAGGAGGAGGAGGAGGAGGAGGAGGAGGAATTATTCTTGCAGCGCGCGCGGACTGGGCCCCTGGGGACAGAGCGCGGTTTCAAGACGGCCGCGCGCGCCAGCCTTGGCGAGGGAACCGTTCCGCCCTCGCCGACCCGCTCACCATCTTTCTAGGGGTTAGGGGTAAGGCGCCGCAGCGGCATGCATGCACTGCACGCAGAATGAAGTAGAGGGGTAGATAGACAAACTATCTACTGCCTTAGAAGGCTTTTTGTCCTCCCTTTCCCTTGCCCTCCTCCCTCCCCTTCCCCTCGTCGTCGTCGTCGTCGTCGCCGCCGTCGTCGTCGTCGTCGTCGTCGTCGTCGTCTACCTCCTCCTCCTCCCCTCGCCCTTCTTCTGCCGTTCCGCGCCTACCGCCTTGAGTCGCGGGCAGGCCAAGGTCAGGCGACGACGCACGGCGCTCGGCCACAGCAGTCGCATCCGGTGCGCGACCCTGCGGCTACTACGACACTCAACTCACGGAGACCTTCTTTGCAACGCGTGTCGAGGAGAAGAAAATGTACCCTTCGACGCTTCGCGCGTATCCTCGCCAGCCCAGCCCATTCAGAAACGATTCCCCAAACCATTGGACATATGTATATATGTACACATACACATGCGGCTTCTGGTCCTGGAATCCTGGATTTGGGGCCTCCTGTTTGAAAAAGACGCCCAGAGGGCTGGCGAACATCCTCATCTCGTCCTGTTCCTCTCCTCCTCCGCCTTCTCCTCCTGATCCCACTCTCTCACCTCTTATTCCCCTACCGTTCCTCGTCGTCGTGTCCTGCTGCTCCTCCTCCTCCTCCCCCCTGAGAGAGAGACGCGGCCGCCGCGGCCGCCTCGGCTGCCACCGCGTCGACGGCCGGCGGGCCGGGCCTGCCTCCCTGCGGCCCGGCGGCGGCGTGCGCGCGCGTGCAGTGCAGTGCGTCGCGCAGTGCGTGCGCGTGCGTGCAGTGCAGCGCGGCTCGACGCGGCGCGTCGTCGTCGTCGTATTCGTCGTCTTTCGTCGTCGTCATCGTCGTCGTCGTCGTCGTCGCCTCGCCCTCTCCAGCGTTGAAGTGGCTTGGTGTTTCTGCGGCGCGGAGAGGGGGGCGGGGCGATGGGGGGAGCTCCTGAGGGCCTTCTGAGAAAAGCCCGAAGGCCTCCAATCAGGCTTATTCGAATCTCGGAGGGCTTCTTTAGAAGCCGCCCTGGCCCCTTAGGCGGCCGCCCCCGTCGCCCCGGCCCCCTCGCGCGCGCTTCGGGGCGACAATCGGGCGCTCGCCGAGATGGGAGCGGCGCGCCTGTGCGGCGAACGGCCCAGGGTCCGAGTCGCGCCTTCTCGGATAATATCTAGGTCGCTCGCCCGCGCATGGCGCCGCGCCAACTTGGGGAGAGCCAGATTTTCGCCCGCAGCCTGGCGAGGCTGCGTCAAGAACCGCCGCCCCCCATTCGGACGCGTTCGATTTTCGATTGCACCTGCGACGACCGCGGGGAAAAAAACAGCGATCCTTATTAAAAGCGCTCGGAATTCGTCGCTGCAAGAAGCGACCGCGGCAAAAAAAAACAGACGCTCATCTCATTCTGTTTAAAAAAAATCCGCCCCAGTGTTGAATCATGCGCTTATTTTTTCGCCCGCCCGTTTGACGACATATGGCAGCGCGCCGAAATTTCAACCGCCGACATCCGAGAACCGCAGTTTTTTCTGCCGCTCCAAACACGCAGCGGCCTACAAAAAAACATCGGTTGGGGCCATCATGTTAGGCCGTGCGAAAAATCATCGATTCCACAAGGGTGCTCCAGGCGAACAGATCAGGTAGCTTACGCACGTCCCCAGGCGGCGGGAAAGGGCGCGGGCTCGGGCGCGGCGCCGAGTCAGGGCGCGGCGCCGAGTCAGGGCGCGGCGCCGACTCAGGGCGCGGCGCCGAGTAAGGGGTCTCCGAGCAAGGCGTAGGGATATCCACTCCGAGGAGATGGGCTGATGGGGGCCAGTGTTTGCAGAGGGAAGCCCGGGTCCCGCAACTTTTGTACAGCAGTGGCTCCCAGAGTTGACTGTTTGGGATGGCGACCGTCCCAGGTTGTGACAGAGATCGAACAGTAACAGCATCGCCAACGGTGATTAGCGCCAGCGCCAACAGCGCCTGGTAGGGAACCAGTGCAACCTATTGCCCCGCTGCTGCTTGCCACGCCCATCCTAAACCCAGCGAGCTAGTGCGGCCAGCGCCGCTGGAAACACAAAGGCGCCGCGGCGCCCGGGAAAAGAGCGCCACAACGCCAACGGCGAGCGGCAGGCGCATGAATGGCTAAGAGCAGGGCCCGGCGTCATGCGCGCCATCCACGGGGCTTGTTTCGGAAATCCAGTGGTCCATGCAGGCGGGGTAACGGGCCCGCAAGCAACGCAAACGCCACGTCGAGCACCGCCGCGTTCGACGCGACCACGCGTGCCACGAGGATGGAGGAAGTGCGAGGATGTAGGAGGAAAGCCAAGAACGAAAGATAAGGCAGAATGCGAGGATCGGGACAGGGGGAGGGAAGGGGGAAGAGGAGGAGCTCATGTTGACGAGCCTCGGCCGTCGAGCGTTTTTAGTTGACGTTCGCTGTTGTTCGACGGTCGGACCACGTCCGTTATTCGATGCACGCCAGTGGCCCAGATACTAGGTGCGATCGGTGTTCGTCTTGACTCCGTCGTGGTTGTCCCCTGGTGTTTAGGAATTCCAGTGGTGAATTCGTCGTGCTTTCGTCGTGGTTGCCCCCTGCTGCTCGGGAGTTCCAGTGGTGCATTCGCCTTGTTTTCGTCGTGGTTGCCCCCTGCTGTTTAGGAATTCCAGTGGTGCGTTCGTCTTGCCTTCGTCGTGGGCGCGCCCTGCTGTTTAGGGACTCCAGTGTTGCATTCGTCTTGCGGTCGTCGTGGGTGCCCCCCTGCTGTTTAGGAGTTCCAGTGGCGCATTCGTCTTGCCTTCGTCGTGGGTGCCCCCTGCTGTTTGGGAGCTCCAGTGGTGCATTCGTCTTGCCTTCGTCGTGATTGCCCCCTGCTGTTTGGGTATTCCAGTTATGCATTCGCCTTGCATTCGTCGCGGTTGCCCCCTGCTGTTTAGGAGTTCCAGTGGCGCATTCGTCTTGCCTTCGTCGTGGGCACCCCCTGCTGTTTAGGAGTTCCAGTGGTGCATTCGTCTTGCCTTCGTCGTGGGTGCCCCCTGCTGTTTATGGGTTCCAGTGGTGCATTCGTCTTGCCTTCGTCGTGGTTGCCCCCCTGCTGTTTGGGAGCTCCAGTGATGCATTTGCCTTGCCTTCGTCGTGGTTGCCCCTTGCTGTTTGGGTATTCCAGTGGTACATTCGTCTTGCCTTCGTCGTGGGTGCGCCCTGCTGTTTAGGGGCTCCAGTGTTGCATTCGTCTTGCGGTCGTCGTGGGCGCCCCCTGCTGTTTAGGAGTTCCAGTGGTGCATTCGTCTTGCCTTCGTCGTGGTTGCCCCCCTGATGTTTAGGAGTTCCAGTGGTGCATTAGTCTTGCCTTTCCGGGTGGCAATGGGCCCTTCTCCCCCTCATCCCTTTTCCCCCTTCATCTTCCCCCCTCCCGCGTTGATTATCCCCCCCAATCGGGGGAGAGAGCGCGCACATATCCAAATCGAGTATTTGGTACGACGCGCTTGAGGCAGCAATGAAGGGCCTGCTGAGGGCCTCTCGCGCGGGATTCTGGGGCGCTGTCTCGGGCCTCGTGCTCCCTCGGGGCTCCAGTTAGGGATCTTCTGTCCACGTCCCTGTCCAACTCGTCTGTTGAATCTGTTTGGGCTCTTGGCGTCGCTGCGGGGGTGGGGGCGGTGACCGTCTGGGAGCCGTCTTCGGCCATATTGTCAGTCAGCCTAACATCCAGGCCATCTGGGTTATTTTTGGGGCCGTCGTGGGTCTCGGGGGCGCTTCTTCGGATTTGTTCGAGCAAATATGCGCCCGCATCTTGGGCCGTCTTCAGCACGGAAACGAGGCAAACGTGTGTTGCCTTGCCTGCCTGCATGCAGTCGATATGCTTGTACGCAGTGCTCTGCTTGGCCACGCCCGAAAGCAGCGTCAATCATTGGCGTGCTGATTCCTCTTCCATCTCCGTTATTCCTCTTCCTCCCTTCCCCTCACACCATACTTCCTCCTCCCCTCCCTTCCTTTCCCTGCCCTCCCTCCCCTCCCTCCCCTCATTCCCCCCCCTCTTCCGTTCTTCCTTCTGCTCCCCACCTCCTCTCATTCCCCTCCTCCTTCTCCTGACCCTCCCCCTTGTCGTCCTTTTCCTCCTTCTCCAGCTGATCCTTATCCTCTTCACCCCGTGTTCTCCCTCGCCCCCCTTCCCTGCTCCTTGTCTTCTCTCCCCCCCTCCGCTTCCTCGCCTCCTCTCTCCCAGAGCCTCTTTGGGGCAGGAGGCCTTTCTGAGGTCAGGCATCCGAGGCCGCCCGTGCATTCGGGTGGCTTCCCCGATGCTGTAAAATATCGGGCGTGCCTGCGAGGCAGTCGTATTTTGCATTGCATTCTTAATCCGATGTCGTCCACTTGCCTTGCTTACCCAGGCCGCGAGAATGATGGGTGGGTCGCGTTGTGGGACTTCGTTACCTCCCAAGTTCTCGTGCGCAACGCTACGGGCGAGCGAAAAGTGGTGTATGGGCCCCATACCACAGCAGGTCCTTACAAGCTCGTGGTGGATGGTGGGCAGTTGTTGTTATCTGGTCAATCGGGCAGCCGAGATCCCGACAGCCCCATTATCAACGTTCGGGCCAGGGACCTCTTGGCGAAGAGCATGTATCTCGACGGAAATCAAGTGCCGTCATTGCTGTCCAACAATACCACTGGTTGTGTCACGAATATATGTGATCATGACTTGATTCTCGACAGCAGAGTTTTGTCATTCAGCACGCCCGGCGGCCTCGAGTTCAAAGGGGAGGCCTATTGGCA